CAAGGAGTCGCAGAGACGCCATTGCTGTTTGCTCCGCCCTGGTGATTCTCTGAGACCCCGCCCTACTCAATTTACATCCCCACCCAAGCTGTGCCAGTGGCACAAAAGGAACCACCTGCGCTTTTGCAGCCTAACCCAACAAACTGCAGATTTCAACTCCTCGCATCCATAAGGGACACACTCAAGAAGCAGAATCAGGTTCAGAGGAAGCCGGAGCCGGACCCGGCTGGGCCGGCGACATGGAACCGCCGTACCAGCAAACGCACAAGCAGGTCCACCAGATCCAGTCTCGCATGGGGCGCTGGGAGACGGCAGACAAGCAGTCTGTGCACTTAGTAGAAAACGAAATCCAAGCAAGCGTACCAGATATTCAGCCACCAAGAATGCCTGGAGATTTTGTCCAGCAAGAAGCCACCCAACAAAAGACAGAATGCCAAACTTCGTGTTGACCAGTTAAAGTATGATGTCCAGCACCTGCAGACTGCTCTCAGAAACTTCCAGCATCGGCGATACGCAAGGGAGCAGCAGGAGAGACAGCGAGAGGAGCTTCTGTCTCACACCTTCACCCCCAACGTGGGATGCGGCACCCCCTGCGAGGCTGCGACAGCCCCTGTGAGGCTGCGTGAGGCTGCGTGAGGCTGCGACGGCCCCTGTGAGGCTGCGTGAGGCTGCGACGGCCCCTGCAAGGCTACAATGGCCCCTGTGAGGCTGCGTGAGGCTGCGATGGCCCCTGCGAGGCTGCAACGGCCCCTGCGCGTCTGCAACGGCCCCTGGGAAGCCGGTGGAACCGCGCGAGCCTCCCAGACGGCTTCATCGATGGCCTGCGAACCAGCTCGCAGCCCCACGCACAACTATCGCCCGAAGGCGAGAGGGGCGAGAGCAGCTGTAGTGTTGCTTTCCCCCCCACTTTTGGTAGCAAAATCCTCATTTTAAACATAAGAGGACCACATTATTTTAAAAAGCCATTACGTGGCTCCGTACCCTTTTCTGAGTAGAGCGTGAA